AAAGTGGGTGAGAGATGGGGGGAGAGGGGGGGGGGGGGGGGTCAGGGGAGTGGTTGCGAGGTTTGGATCTTTAACCCAGTATGTAATAGTTATGCTTATATCATGTGAATTATACAGGGAATAACACCAGATGAAGAGAGATGCTACGCTCACTTTAATTCAACAGATATTTACTAGAAGCTTACTATATCCAAATCACTGTAAAAATGAGTGGGACAGAGCCCTTGCCTTTCAGGAGCTGAATAATATCTGTTTGGAATGTGTAAAGAAGCTCCCAAAATAGGGAACATTATTTAATTCACTGTATACCAGAGATTAGTAAGTGAACCACTATTTCCACTACGTTCAATTCAATTCAATTCATCCTGGGTTTGACATCATTGCTCTCTGCGGATGAAAAGAAGATTCCATTTGGTTTATACTAATCCAATTATAAGCTGAAAGATTTTTTCTGGGCAAAATTGTTTTTGTTCTACCTTCACTCATTACTCTTTTACAAGGTTTGAAGAACTGCTATCACCAGTATTCAAATATTTCACCAATTTGGCAACAGAGCAAGAACTAATGTAGGCTCGGAAAGACTGCAGGCCTTTCAGGTTGTTAGTCAAAATGTTCTACAAGACACTAACTGCCCTCAAGCTATTTGTTACCAGGTGGGCACTATTTCATGACCCCTGAGTAAGCAATTCTAGATAAGGAACAAATGTCTAACAGGCATCTTTAGAAAAACCCATATGTTTTAATACTGAAATTCCTCTAACTTCCTATCATTAAAATTGTCTCTATATGTTATATATCTTTAATTTCCATTTTAATGTGTTGAACTGTTAAAACTAATCTTTGGCTTGAAAGTACGTAGGTACCTTTGTGCTTTGGAGGGGATGAAGAAGCTTAAAGTTATTACCAAATGAGAGATGGAAGTGTGTGTGTGTGTGTGTGTGCGTGTGTGTGTGTGTGTGTATACACCTTTTCCTTTAAAATGTCAGAATTCAAGTTTGGATTGTTTATATTTTAGGGTATGTACTCTGTTGCTGTGCCAAGTACAGCCTCAAGGAAATATCATGTATGTTTATTAAGAAAGAAAACAAACAAATCCTAGAGTTATTTAGATTGGGTGATATTTCCTCCCTTTATAGAAATGATAGAAACACTTCTATACCCTCTTAGGTAAATAGATGATTTGGATTTCCACCATCTGCTTCCATTATTCTCCTTGCATTTTTCCCCGTATCTCAGTCTCTACTTTAGAAGGGAATATCAATAGTAGCTAATGGAAGCTTTAAAGGCAAACAGAAGGGTGTATTCCTCCTGACTAGCTGGGGGGAGGGGAGGAGTCTTTTTTTCCTATTTGTTCTGCAGTGTCAAGGCCAAATTTGGCAACTGTAGCTACTAAAAGACTGACAATATCATGCAGTCATGTTTATACCCTGAGGGTATTGAGTTATTGGAAATGTGCTTGGGGGAGAGGTAATAGCTCCCCACTGTCCACGAGCTAATGAATACAGGTGATTTACCTTTAAAAGCCTTTACCATAGCATTCCCTGATGGAAAATGAGGTACCACATACTTGGGATATCCCTTCTCTCATGGAGTCTGATAACTTATTTGCTAACTTTAGAGAAAGTTTAAGGAATCAGCATTGTTTCCGAATATGTTTCCATATGCTGCGATGACCTCTGCATAAACTTTAACTTGAGTTAAAGTATAGTCTATGTAGATACCTCTGACATACTTGTTCTACCTCAAAGAAAATAATATTCCACAGATAAAGGCAAAGCCACATAGTTCCAGCATCAATTCTTAAGATTTATCCTCATTTCAAAAAAAAAAAATCCTCATTTCAGCATTTTAGCAAAAGCATATATGTTACCATATAAATCCCCAATTCTCCTTCTCTCCTAGGTAGAGAGTTGAGTATTTAGGTAACTGTAATGAATCTTTTTTGTTTGTTTGTTTGTTTGTTGTTTTTGTTTTGTTTTTTTGCAAGGCAATCTCGGAGTTAAGTGACTTGCCCAATGTCACACAGCTAGTACGTGTCAAGTGTTTGGTCTGAGGCCAGATTTGAACTCAGGTCCTCCTGACTTCAGGGCCGGTGCTCTAAGTAATGAATCTTTTAAGTTTCTTGGTGACTATAGTACCAAGAAAAACATTAATCCTAAAACATATTATTTATATATATATTATACATATGTGTATATATATATGTATGCTATATATATGTGGGTAATACTTATTTTAATCATCTCATCATAGTTATATTCATCTCACCAATGCACTTACAGTCTTATGGGGTTTTGTTTGTTTACTTGTTTTAGAGTTGGTGAGATTCAGGGCCCCAATGTGACACTTGGTGGTGCCCAGGCTGCAAATGGTAATCCCTCCTTCTCTCCCCCACATCTAGCTACTTACATTTTAAAGTGCTCCATAAGGATTTCTGTGGTCCCATTATACCAAAATTCCTTCATGCAAATTCAGTTTGATATTCATTTTTTTCTTTTGATACTAATGCTCCTTATAAAAGGAACATCTGGTTAACTCTCAGAATGATGGGGAATGTGTGAGAAATGAAAGAGAAGTGCCTGAGGGAACTAAGCCATAGCCCATGGGAAACATGAAGACTTTGTAGCATCTAGGCCTGGGCCTTAGAACATTTTCTGTTGAAAGGAACCCCTGTTCCTCCTAAGGACTGCCTATGAAAGGCACTTATGTGAGGATTGGAATGCTTCTCCAAAAATGGATAAATGAAAACAGAGAGATAGTACTTACCCCAAACATTTGTCTGAGATCTGGATCCCGGAATCTGAAGGGGATATTTGAGACGTGCAGCCGCTTAGGCTGCGATTTGTTTTCTGTGTTTTCAGAAGGTTGTGTCTGAGGCTGGCCGTCAGTCTGTGCCGCATCATCTGTCTGCTAAAAGAACAAAAGAGAAACAAAGTAAAAGAGGTCTTCAGTATACTTTCAGGTCTAATATCCATTTTCCACGTCACCACATAATAGATGAATTCAAGGAACAAAGGAATCAGGCAAGGAGAGGTCCTGAAATATCAAAGATAGAAGAAGGGTCTGTTGGCTTTGCTCAATCCAGAGGAGAGTCTGTTCAGATAAAATATTAGCTAAATTCAACTGGGGGTAGAGTTGAAGAGGAAGGAGAAATGAACCAGTTGTTTGGCACTGCATATATAAAAGCTGACCAACTGAATTAAGCATTTAGACAATGTTTTAAATACCTTATAAGGCATAGTCCTGTAAAAGTAGGATAGACACATTTCCAGTATCATATAAAAAGATTGAAATCTCACTTACCTGATACAGCCCACTAGAGGGGAAAAGGAGAGGCATGTTTTTGCTCTCATGATTTTTATTATATTAAGCCTGTTGTCTGATCATTCCTTTTCGATGCTTTTAACACCAATATGATTTTTAGATGTCTTAATTCACCCGGTTTGGAGTTACAATTATAAGGCCCTTTCCTCTAGTGGCTCTGTGAGGAAGCTCATTTTATCTGGAGCTATGAATTTTCCGGACCCTGTTTACAGAAATATAACTTCATTTAAAAAGTAAAATATAAGCAGACATAAGTAGATAATTTTCTACAGCAAATTTTCAAATAATTATCACTCAGAACAAAGTGCCACCTTCTCCATGAAGCCTCTGTGATTCTCCCAGATAATAGAGTGCCCTCTTTTCAAAAACCACCTTTATTAATTTTGCAAGGTTTTTTGTCTACTTATATGTGTACATATTTTCTCCCCTACTAGAATGTAAACTTGAAGACTAGTTTCATTTCTGTCTTTATATTCCCAGCACTTAGTCCCATGGGGAGTGAGGTGGCATAATGGATTGAGCATCAGGCCAAGAGTCATGAAGACCTGAGTTCAAATCTGGCCTCAGATACTTAGTAGCTGAGTGACCCAGGGCAAGTTGCTTAACTCTATTTGCCTCAGTTTCCTCATCTGTAAAATGAACTGGAGAAGGAAATGACAAACCACTCCAGAATCTTTGCCAAGAAAACCCCAAATGGGGTCCCAGAAAGTGGGACACAATTGATATGACTGAACAACAAAGTCCCATACCTGGAAATAGGCTATTAGTTTGATTGATGCAATTTGGTATATTTCTAATTAATCTTTAACTGGCATCAGTTAGTTTAATGTATTCATGACTTAGTCCCAGATATAACTTAAAATGTCCTTTTCTGATTCACTAATTTATATCTAGAATTCAAATTCCTTTGGGGCTGGTACACAGGTCCAGGAGCTCCAGTCAGTATTGTTAAAAGATCCAACAGGGGGATTTCCTTGGTGGCCGGCAGTTCCTATCGACAAGTGACCTTTTCACTTTGCTTAAACATGGATAGGTATTTGAAGCAATAGCCCAAGCTGCTATTACTTGCCTCTACAGGGTCAATATCATGCTTCCTCTGACTCCACTGCATTCTTTCTTCCAGGTAACCAAAGGAGAAAGAGATTACAGTTGTGTATGGCAGAGCCTTAACTATTTTTTTTTTGCCTGTGATGAGGTCTACAAACCACAACCAAGGCAAGTGGTAGAAAAATAGGTGGGTATTATGTATGGGTGAGGAAGGATGGACTGCTACTCTGTTGCAGGCAGAGAAACCCTAAAGTCCATGAGTAGATATAGAATGGGTAGAGGAAAGCACTCATCCCAGCCTGCCATCTAGGATCTTAACTATTTTAACTAATTCTTGCTAAATATGCACTAAGCTGTCTAGTTTCTCTACTGATAAAGGACTGCATGTTATTAGCACCCTCTAAGTTTGGTGCCGTGTTGCAAAGTTCTATTCACCCCACATACTAGTAACAGTTCTGATGAAAGGTATCTCTGATACATATATTTCTTTCCCAAACAAAAGAAAGTAACTTTCTATTCTAATCCTAAATGGTAGAGAAAAGCCTCTGCCTGTACCCCACACTTCTAGTAATAGGTGTTCCTTGAATAAAAAAATGACACTACATCTCGTAGTGGTACTCTTAACAACCCTCAATTTTTACAAACTGCCTCAGTAAGAAAGATCCTTACAAACCTATTGTCAGAAAGAACTTATATCAAAGAACATCTGTTGAAAAATGTAAACAAAGCTTTCAAATAGAGATTTAAAATCATTTCAAAATAACAAGTGAGTCTAATTTAAGAAGAAGAATGAGAAGAGAAAGACATCTTTAGGTCATAATTTGTGTCTAAAGCCTTATATTGCCAGGGGGGATATAAATATATATATATACACACACACACACACACACATATATATAATGGCTCATCTAATTATATATATTAAGAAGTGTTTTAAAAGTAGCATTTAATAGACTCTCTCAAGTATAGTTCAGGCACCAAAGAAAAACAAGTATTGGAAACCCACCCCTTTCCTTGATTTCCTACCTCCCCTATCCTGAACCTAGAGATGCTAACATATCAAGTATCTAGGGCTGTGGAAAGCATTTCATCCTGGGGACTAAAGGTACTGAAATTACAGCTTTGTTGTAGAAAACAGGATCTCCCTGAGGACAAAGGGAGATGACCATATCTTCCTGGGCTGTGGACATAATAGGCAACTTTTCTTGAGTGGTAGAGTGCCATAAATGAATTAAAGGACAAAACAAGAACAAAAAGTATTTCTCAGAAATATTGCCTGAAGAAACTTAATGCAGCTTGAGACTACCAAGGCCCAGCATCTTGAAAATGACATCCCTTGAAAATTACATGGATGTTCATTTTCCTTATTGGTAATAAGGTGACCAGTGATGCTGACTTGAGGAAACTACCTTGAAATCCTTCATTAGTGTAGTGCCAGGAACATAGTAAGCACTTAATAAATGTTTTTCATTTATTCATTCATTCCTCACCCATGCATCCATTCATTCAAAATCACTACTTAACTGCAAATTAAAATGGTTTATTTCCCTTTCAGAGAAGAGGACTTACTTGCATTTAAATTTTACCACAACTGCAGAATGTTTCAGTTTAATAAACCTAATTAGGAATTACAGAGATTATGATTAAACATATTAAATGATTAATAGCATTATGTCACTCATGTGAAAATTAAAATTAATCATCTTTAGTCAAACAGTACTTTGGAGAAATCTTTGCGTTGTTTTCTTTGATAAAAACATACAATGCTTAATTAATCATTTTGTAACATGCATTTGTACAAGTGTCCGTGGGTTAGCATATACCTGTGTGCATAGCATAAGTCACAAACGGGTGAAGAAAGAACAGAAAAATATTCTTTAAGATTATCGTATGATGTTTTGATTTTGCTTTTTCTACTACAAGCGTGTGTGAATGTCCATGAATTCTGTGCTGCTTTGGCTCTCTTTTTTTGTGTACTTTACCTAGGAATAAATACTGGGAAAAAACTCACAATTCAGTGTCACTGCATAAAAGAAAAGCTAGTTAGCTCATGGAAAGACTCTGTCCTCAGGTGGTTGATGCATTTTTGTTGCATAAGAATACAATTCTCAGCATAACTATAACTAATGCTAGTTTGAGAAGAAAAATCTACCATTTCTTATACCTAGAATAATTTTCTTCTGACTGTGCTGAAGGTATAGTTTTAATGGGAGTATCTTGATAATAAATTGTAGAGTGGGATTTTTGTTTGTTGCTGGTTTAGGAAATCACCCCTGAGTAGGCCTTGACCATAACACTATTCCTAGACACTATGACTTCCATTACTTCATTATATACTGGCCCTTCTAAAGTCAAGAAAATACAACCCTAGAAAAATATTCCAAATTACTAAGTTTGGTGTTTTTGCAGGATGCTATTTCAAAATTTACTGCCAAAGAATGTCGGCACATGAAAGATTCACTTGACTTTGACCCGCCCCCCTTCCCCATTTCAGCTCTGTTGGCAAACAAATGAGTTAATCACACTGCTTTTGATGTATTTAATGTATTATTCCCAAGCTTCCAGCTGCAACATTACAATGACATGAGGAAGACATGGGAGTAGGTCCATAGGACTGTTGATCTTTCTTCAAAGGCTTAACTAGAGGTTTCTGAATAAGCTCATTACAAGGGCAGTGCCTTTTCTTGCTTTGGTCCAGTGATAAATCCCTATCAGGATTTGGAATGTTTGCTGCAGGTATTTCTTAATAAACAAACTCCCCAGATACTTCTGTGTGTTATCAATGCTACGAAAACACCCCTGGCTTTAATCTCCTGAAGATCACTTAGTGCCTTCACAAGGACTTTAATAAAGAGCTGGGGGCCTTCTCCCTGTCCATAATCATTCCTAATTCAATGACTAGCTCAGAGCTACCCAAAACTAATCCCAGTGAAATTGGATTTAGGCATCGACCAATCTAGCAGTGACTATATCAAAGGATGAATGCAGTCTTATAAAAATAGGTGCCTTTTGGCTGCCCCTCTTAATTTTGTCTTCTTTCTTTGCCTATTAATACTCCTTGTCCCACCTGTCAAGTCCACTATGACTAGCATTCTAGTTATTTGTTAATGTTTATATTTTCCTTTAGACCAAGTCTTGATTTCATTTTGGGATAAGGTATGGATAAGCCCTGGAATGAAGATTTGATTGCTTTAGGCAACGCCTAATTGCAGAAATTCTTTCTTCCATGGCAGGTGAGTACCATTTCGGCAACACAGAGTCTAAAAGAGTTGAATAGACAATTTCGAGGTTATGTGACTTGCCTAAGATCATAGGGGCCAGTATGTGAAAGATGGAAGTTGAAGCCAGGTCTTCCTCACTCTTTGGCCCTCTATTAACTACACCATGCTGCCTCCCTAGGTCTTTGGATTATCATTACCTGAATCATATACAAAATTGGATTAAGGTTTGGCAGGCAGAAGAAAAGAACTGTGACATGGTAGTAATGATATAAGAGCCTTCTTTTTTAGTTTTGATATTGCTAACCCAGTACCTAACCT